TTCAGCGTCGTCAGGTTGAGTTCCCTTCACCTCTTCCCGTAGGACATACCCCTCAGCTCTGGGACTAGTCTTGTTGCAAATCTTTACACTTTCTCTAATTTCTTGACGTGCTTGATCAGGTGTGGGTTCCAAACTGGTGTTGCATACTCCAATATGGGCCTGACGTGCACGGTGTACAGTGTATTGAATGATTCCTTACTCAGATATCGAAACGCTAGTCTTAGGTTTGCCAGTTGCTCATGTGCTGCTGCAGTTATTTGGTTAATGTGCGCCTCAGGACGTGTGCTCGGGAGGATACTCACCCCAAGATCATTTTATTTGAGTGTGGTTTGTAGCCTTGGGTCCCCTAGCCTGTACTCCGTTGCGGTCTTCTTTGACCTTCCCCAATATTCATGAATTAGCACTTAGTGAGGTTAAACTCCAGCAGTCAGTTGCTGGACAAGGCTTGCATTCTGTCCGGATTCCTTTGTAGTCCTGCCTGAGCCTCATCCGTTTGAATTCTTCGCATTAACTTCACATCGTCTGCAAACAGGGACACCTCTGAATCTATCCCTCCCATTATGTCATTCACATATACCAGGAACAGCACCGGTCCTAGGACTGACCCTTGTGGAACCCCGATCGTCACAGGCGCCCACTCTGACACCTCGTCACGTACCTTCACTCGTTGCTTCCTTCCTTTCAGGTATTCTATGATCCATTGCCGTGACTTTCCTGTTATTCCTGCCTGTGTGTGTGTGTGTGTGTGTGTACTCACCTAATTGTGGTTGCAGGGGTCGAGACTCAGCTCCTGGCCCCGCCTCTTCATTGATCGCTACTAGGTCCTCTCCCTCTCTGCTTCCTGAGCTTTGTCATACCTCTTCTTAAAACTATGTATGGTTCCTGCCTCCACTACACTTGCTAGGCTATTCCACTTCCTGACGACTCTGTGACTGGAGAAATACTTCCTAACGTCCCTGTGACTCGTCTGAGTTTTCAGCTTCCAGTTGTGACCCCTTGTTTCTGTGTCCCCTCTCTGGAACATCCTATCTCTGTCCACCTGTCTATTCCCTGCAGTATCCTGTATGTCGTTATCATGTCTCCCCTGACCCTTCTGTCCTCCAGTGTCGTCAGTCCGATTTCCCTCATCCTTTCCTCGTACGACATTCCCCTGAGCTCTGGGACTAGCCTTGTTGCAAACCTTTGTACTTTCTCTAACTTCTTGACTTGCTTGACCAGGTGTGGGTTCCAGACTGGTGCTGCATACTCCAGTATGGGCCTAACATACACAGTGTACAGTGTCTTGAACGATTCCTTATTAAGGTATCGGAACGCTATTCTCAGGTTTGCCAGGCGCCTGTATGCTGCAGCAGTTATTTGGTTGATGTGTGCCTCTGGTGACGTGCTCGGTGTTATGGTCACCCCAAGGTCTTTCTCCCTGAGTGAGGTCTGTAGTCTTTGTCCACCTAGCCTGTACTCTGTCTGCGGTCTTCTTTGCCCCTCCCCAATCTTCATGACTTTGCATTTGGCAGGACTGAATTCGAGAAGCCAGTTTCTGGACCACATGTCCAGCCTGTCCAGGTCTCTTTGCAGTCCTGCCTCATTCTCATCCAATTTAATTCTTCTCATCAACTTCACATCATCTGCGAATAGGGACACTTCAGAGTCTATTCCTTCCATCATGTCGTTCGCATATATCAAAAATAGCACTGGTCCTAGAACTGACCCCTGTGGGACCCCACTCGTCACAGGCACCCACTGTGATACCTCTTCACGTACCATGACTCGTTGCTGCCTCCCTGTCAGGTATTCCCTGATCCATTGCAGTGCCCTCCCTGTTATGTGCACCTGATCCTCCAGCTTCTGCACTAATCTCTTGTGGGGAACTGTGTCAAAGGCCTTCCTGCAGTCTAGGAAAATGCAATCAACCCACCCCTCTCTCTCGTGTCTTACTTCTGTTACCTTGTCATAAAACTCCAGTAGGTTTGTGACACAGGATTTGCCTTCCATGAACCCATGCTGGTTTTCATTTATAATCTTGTTCCGTTCCAGGTGTTCCACCACCCTCCTCCTGATAATCTTCTCCATGACTTTGCACACACTACATGTCAGAGACACAGGTCTGTAGTTTAGTGCCTCATTTCTGTTTCCTTTCTTAAATATGGGGACTACATTTGCTGTCTTCCATTTCTCAGGTAGTTGCCCAGTTTCAAGTTTTTTACGAGCAGAGCAACCCCTCCTCCCCCTCTGCCCCTTCTATCTTTCCTCATGATCTGGTATCCTGGTGGGAAGATTGCATCTGTTATTGTCTCCGTGAGTTTTGTTTCTGTAACTGCTATGATGTCTGGGGACTTCTCATTGATTCTTTCTTGCCATTCCTCATGTTTATTCATTAATCCATCCACATTTGTGTACCAAACCTTCAACTTCTGTTCAAATACTGTAACTGTGGTGCGGGAGGTGGGAACAGAGGGATTGGTGTGTGATGGTTGGTTTGGATTGTTCAGTTGCCTTGGGGGTGTAGTGGCTGGAGTCCTTCTGCAGGTGTTTCTGGGGGGTGTGCTTGTCCTTCCACTTGTTCCTGGGTTATTCTGCCCTCCTTTTTCATTTCCTCCCATTTCTCCTTTCGTTTTTGCATTCTCTTTCAGCATCATCCTTTCCTCCTGTGTTCTGTCTCGATCGAGGTACACACTCATGAACTCCTGTTTGTCTCTCAGCTGTGCTTTCTCCTGTAGGATCATGGTTCGGGTTGATTCTGCCTTGAAAATTACTTTGAGAGGCTGATTCCTTTTCTTTGTGAACCACCTGATTCTCTAAAAATTTGCCACCTGGGTCGTGTCCCCCTCGCCTATCACCTTCATGATACCTTCATTCGCTTTTTTCTCCTCCTGCTTTCTTTCATCATAAGTTTCCCCTTTAGCTTCATCTAGCCCATAGACAAAAACTGATCTCTCCCTTTCCACCTCCCACTGTGACTCCCATTGCATCCTCTGAGGTGTTTTAGTTCCTTCCCATGGAGTGTTCTTTCAGTCCCTTCCCTAGCTATGGCCCCTATGCTCATTGGTTTGTCCTTCCTGCTCACCTGTTCCTGGCCCCCACAGGTGTCTGGTAAGGTCCCTGCACATGTCCTAGTTCCTTCAATGTCTTCCAACCTCTCATTCTATCCTAGTGTGCTCCCTGTCTTTGTTTTGGCCCCATGTGGGTTTGACAGGACCTCTGCATACAGTTTAGCTTCCATGCTCCCTTCAGACCCATTGTCTGTGTCTGATGTAGCCATTGCTGATGCTACTTCTGTAATATCTTTGTCTCTATGCTGTTTCAGATGTCTCAGCTCCTCTTCTAATCTCTGTATCTTGTTTTCTGCTGCTGTGGCATGTTGCTTCCACCTTCTGCATTCTGCTGCTAACCTCTCCTCCATCTTCCTTGCAAGCTCATCTAGCCTCCTTCCCCAGTCTTCCTCCCTTTTTTTGAGCTCTGCCTCCCAGTCCTCCCTCCCAGATTCGTCCTTCGGGCCCCTTGTTCTCATCCTAGTTCTAGGTTCCCCCATTGCTCCACAGAAGGAAGGGGGAGAGGTTGTGTGTGTGTGTGTGTTTGTGTGTGTGTGAATTTCCTCATTACTCAATTTTCTGATTGCTCAATATTCTGATTGCTCAAGTTTCTGACTGCTCGATATTTGTCCTGTTTTTAATCTGAAAAATGACTAGCTGTTCACATTAATTAATTTTGTAAGGCAGTATTTTTTACTCAACCCGTGAGGTGATTACAGTGCAAGCATTATTATTATTCAGCGCTATATGACCCTTATGGGTTTAGCGCTTAATTATGATTATATTATTATTGTTTTTATATCTTAAAAGTTGTTGCAGTAAGTTTGACAAATTTTACGTATATTTGGGTTGTTTATTCCAAATATAATATGTCTTTATCACGTAAACATGACTCACGAAATCGTAATGACATGATTGCAAACAAACCATACCACGGGTGGGGTTTGAACCCACGATCAGTGTGTCTCAAAACTCCAGACCGTCGCGTTAACTACTGGCTAATGCGACGGTCTGGAGTTTTGAGACTCTGACCGCGGGTTCAAACCCCACCCTTGGTATGGTTTATCACGTAAAGTTTCTTTACAACATGATTTAGAACTTTACTTAAAGTTTATGCGTAATATAGTAAGTTATAACGTAAATACAATGAAGGGAAAAGTGTATTTACTGAACTTATACTCAGTACCATTTAAAATGTTTATAAAATTTACCACTAATAAGTTCCAGACTTCTTGTTAAGTCTTCATCCTTTTCCTTCAAAACTGCCCTTGTTACTCTTTTTTTTTTTTTTGTAGTGCGTCTGTACATTATCCAGCAGTAGTCGGTCGTCATGTCATTCCATTTACCTTGGTACCTTCTTTCCATCTTTATATCCTGGTGGGACCTTTCACATTACTCTTCACTTAAAGCTTACAGATTTTCCAGAACGTAGTCTAAATAAGCATCCAGGAAATGTCCTTTGAGACTCGCATTACATCCTAAGGCCTTGAACTTTTCAACATCGTGTTCACGATTTCTTCGTAGTTTGGGTCCTTATCGTTACCTAAGAATTTTTTTATGCCATTTTTGAAGGCAATCCATGTCTTTTTTTTTCAACATCAAGTAGTTTTCAAAATTCTCATCCTGAAGTTTCCTTTTATATGGCGGGACAAATATGGCATCTTTGAGCTTGCCATCCGACAATCCTGTAACTTTCTTGCACAAAAACTTAACACCGGCTCCGACTCGTAGTAAAGCTATAACAAAATGCTTCAATAAGCCAAATTTTATGGGCAGAGGAGGCAAGACAACATTTTTGGTTTAACCACACCGTCTCGTACTACATTCATTGTCCCTGGTGTAAGTCTACTCTAACTGGGTCATTGTTTCCTGGACCAAAATAGACTCTTGGTTCTATTGTCCCATTTACACAGGAAACACTGACACTTTATGTATACCAGTTGCAACGTACAAAGTACCTTTGTCCCCACAAACCATCCCAATGTGGTCTTTGTAGTTAACCTTATTTAAAACCAGCTCTAGATCCTCATAAATTTCCTTCACATGCGTAGTATGAACCCACAGGAGTGGAAGCATATTTGTTACCATTGTTTTGAAGAACTGCCTTAAGATTTCTTTTAGAGGAATCGATAAAATGTCTCCACTAATCAACATCACACCAGTAACATTAGTATAGTAAACTAAATCACCTTTTTGAGAAATATGTGGAACAAAATCTTTGTCCCGGTTTCGATACCAGGAGAATGATGTGCCATGAGTCGTTGAGCAGATGGAAGGTTGGGATACTAAATCACTTTTTTGTGTGTGTTGTATCCTTAATACAATACAGGAGCAAACGTAACAGTCATCGGTGTGATATTTTGGTTCCCTCCAGATCATTGGAACACCGTAACGAAATATTTTTTTTTTCGTACCTTTCGTCCACTGCCTTAGTTCTTCAGAGCAAACAGAACAGACTTTGGAGAGCCCGTGATTTGTCTTGGTCTCTGACTTTTACTCCAAAATATGCCAAGATTTATTTTTTTGACTGTAATGTTTCTCAGTTGCTTCTTAGTGACAACTTCATCACACATACCAGAACCTCTGCGGATAGTCAACACATACCTTGTGTAGCCATTATCACTACAACCACAACTCTACTTTGAAACAAAAATACACAATAAACATATGTACTAAAACAAAACACAAATACAATTCAAGTCAGTAAAGTGCAGTGACATGAGGTCACCTGACAGCTTTCATCCTCCTCGAGTGACCTGTAAGCCCTTTTCCCTCTCTCTCTCTCTCTCTCTCTCTCTCTCTCTCAAACTTTTTCTCTCTCACAACGTATTTCTCCATCACAACCTTTCTCACTCCCTCACAACATCTTTCTCCCTTTCGCACATCTTTCTCCCTCTTTCCCTCTTACATTCATTTTAAGACAAAGTATACTGGCAACACTGCTTTGTAGGCAACTTGACAAAAACTCGACCTGATGCATTAATGAAATCAACACATCGAAACTGATGAGAAACAAGCAGCAAATCTCCAGCAAAGAAATTGATATAAGCCTGTGTTATTGTTAATTATTATTACTATTATTATATTTTTATTAACATTATATCACACTGCTTCTCATACTCTCGATTTCTATGTCGTTACTCGTATCTTTACTTTATCTGTCTCTACCTCCCCTCCCACTTTTCCTTTCCCTCCTCAGCTTTTCTTTGCTCCCCTCTTCCTACTTTTTCGTCTGTCGTTTCCTTTCTCTACCCACTTCCTTCTCTCCCTCTTATGTTCTCCCTCTCTTTACTCACCCCTTCATCTCCTCTCTCTCTTTTTCGTCTTCTCTTCCTCCTTTTTTACCATTTTAACTTTTTATTCAGGTTCACTGTACAAATTTCGACTTTACACAGTAACACTTGTCTGTAAATAAACCCAGGATAACTACTTTAAGTCTATCTTATTTACGTTGCCTTACAGAATATAATTAGCATAATCAGGGGCTTTCTAGTATGTTATTGATGTCTGTTTGATGTCTGCTAGGTTTGTATATGTTGTATCATGTACTTGTAGAAATAATGATTATTATTATTATTATTATTATTATTATTATTATTATTATTATTATTATTATTATTACTAATACGGGAATAGTAGACATTTTTGGCCTTTAAATCAACTTACAACTATAGACATTTTTTAGATTTAATTGGTTTAACTTGAATGCTAAAGTTTGCATCTTGTCCCATTCTCTCTTTCTAGTTTTCTATCACATTGTCTCATTCCTTTTGTATCCCAGTGGTGGATATATGCTCATACAAATTCTATTTCTCCTGTGTTTGGGACAGGCAATCTTAAGAGATAATAATTCCCAAGCAATAGAAACTACGGCTCTGCTGTCGTAGTTGATGAACCTTTAATGGAATACTTGATATTCTCGTCGCTCTACCGAAATCTCACACATCAGTCTGAGAGATTTTAACACTATGTATGAAATTCATCCTGTGAGATGGAATATGACAGGGAAACATAACTAGCTTTTGTTCCTACTGTGTAACTGTCACATAGAATAATGTAGAGCACATAACTGGTGTATCCAATTTTGCTAAATAAAAAAAAATCGTCTCTCAATTTCCCTCTGTCTCTCATTCCGTTTGTCTATCAATGTCTTTTCCTCTTTCCTTCTCTCATATTGTCTCTCGTTCCTCCCTTCTCTCTTGCTTCAGGTGATGTGTTTCGTCATCGGGCTTCCCAGTGGAGGGTGTCAGTGTGTGTGGCAGCCTGCGCATGCTTCCAATATCGACTCCCCTCAGATGCCAGACAAAGCCAAACCTTTGAGATTTTTACATACGTTCACGCCTTAAAATGGTATTATTTTGCGTTAATCAACGGCAAGCAAATTGATTATGCTTTTGATAATTAAACTTTAACAAATATAACATTGCTTCTTGCAGTTAACCTGTTTTTTTATACATTTTAAACACTATTAAGTTTTACTGTAAACTGATGTATGCATAAAATTGGAAGTGTTTATTGGCCTCAAAAAAAAAAAAATGTATTTATAGAGCATAGTAATAAGTTACGGAATAAGGGAGAAAATATGACTAGAACTTATGGCGAACTCCATAAATGACTAACTGGTAACTGTCATCAGTACGGCAGCAGAATCCAGCGGCTTCAAAACACACCAATGGCAAAATGGCGCAAGTGGGGTCACCTCGAGCAATTCTGACATTATGGGCGTTGTGTGCGTGTGTGTGCTTTGTGTATGTGGAGCGGACACTCTAAGTGATAGTGCCAACACTGAAACTCGCCAGGGTGGCCAAACCACAGTGCTTCACGAGCCCATCTCTCATAAAAAACACAGTCCTAAGCCCTTGCTCACCACGGATGATGTGGATGAACAGCAAAGCACAGACAGCCTCTCAAGCAGCAGCAGCAAGACGGAGTGGCGGACCAAAAGTAGTAGTAGTAGTAGCAGCAGCAGCAGTAGTGGAGCGCCGGTGAGGGAGACAGCCAGTAAGAGGAATATCAGCAGTCAGGGGCGTGGAGCCACTGCTCAGGAGCTGAAGTCAGCTACTTCCCTGGCAGGTAATCTGCTGCTGCTGCTTATATCCGTGGTCATCGCTGGCTCCCTCTTCGTGATGCTCCTCTGCTTCATCCATAAGTGGAAGGAAAACATGGGCACTACGTGAGTACTAGGCTCTGAGAGCAGCCATTCAGTTCTATTTAACAACAAACAACTTAACAGAACTTGAAACAACCCAAGCTTTTGCTATAACAATATTGTTATAACAACGTAATAATAAAGGCTTACGCTCTTCCATGTATCTGTTATGTACTCTTCTGCGTGTTGCCTCTTCTGTCAAAACTTTTCTGACCTGACAATCCAGGGCTCGCGGTGTGCACCCATTTATTATTCAATATTTTTAATGTTCAATTTCTGTACTTAATGAGACATTTAATAGTCTTTTATCAAGTTTCCACCTGTCGGCTATTATTTTGTTTCGTTATCGTAAAAATCAGCAACTCTGTACTGTTGATATAATCTTTTTATCAAAATTAGACACATCAACAATGTGCTGCTACACTTTTATAGTTACAGTGGAGCAAAAACTAGCCGTTTCCCCGTCGTATTCCATCACATGATGGGTCTCATACATAGTGTTGAAATGTGGTAGCCTCAGATAAGAGACTTCAGGTGAGCAATAAGGATATCATCAAGTATTCATGTAAGGGTTTCCTATAGTCAGTGTTGGAAGTGAGGAAGGATGGGGTAAGCACAGATGTTCTCAGGTACACGGCCATATACCTACTTACCAATTTCCCAAACTTGTTTCTTAAAGCCCAGCCCTATCACTGTGACAACCCAAAGCTAGATGTCCGTTATGTAATTGTTAGGAAATTCAAAACACACTCATCCATCACCTGTTGTAACCGTGATTCCCGTGACTGATTACAACTGCCACTTGAGTATCAGCCTCTGTGGTATTAGAAGCTACTGTACACATTTGGGCTCAAAAGAGGCATGTTGATGCTTGTTAAGTGCTCCTAATCTGAAGAATTGGAGCTACGCTCCTCTTCCTTGGATCATATCTGGTCGTCTGAGGGGGGGGGGTCATACACCTGGTTCTGTGATTTCCCTATGAGGTTAGAGCTTCACCTATTGCGACAAGTACCCAACATCAACAAATAATACTCGTAACACATTACGGCCGTTTCACTCTCCAGTTTTATCAAGCCAATTGTCTTATAAAGCCAAGTGATAAATGTCTCATTAGTTGTGCAGCTCATGTGTCCTCTTACCTAACATTGTTGTTAAGTCTACCAGTGTTTTTACCAGCACCCTGGTGGTTATTATTATTATTATTATTATTATTATTATTATTATTATTATTATGTATCCCTCAAGGGATACCTTGGAGTGGTTGACATATATTTTTCCTTCGAAGTCTCGATTTTATTTGCTTTATAACATGAGGCCTCATCAGCCATAAATGTGCATGTGTACATAAGTACAAATATATGTATGCATATGCCCAAGAATACATCTGCATGCATATACTGCACATACATACATGTGCACATGCATACATACACATCACATGCTGACAAAGTGTACATACATGAATACGTGCTCATACATATGCACACATACGCAGTTGTATATACATCTACACATCATTTACCAAACTGCGGCAGGCCAGGACTCTACCCTACGAACCTTGTGCCGCCTCCAGAGACAACACAATGTACGCAACACCTTACCACGGAGCCAGCGATCCTACAAAGAACCAAGCACACAGCACGGAGCTATTCAGACAGGATGAGGCTGAAATTAATCCTTGAGATACCACTGCCACAAGTGTCCTCGGACCAAGGCAAACACAGCTCCGTGCTGTGTGCTTGGTTCTTTGTAGGATCGCTGGCTCCGTGGTAAGGTGATACATTGTGCTGTCTCTGGAGGCGGCACAAGGTTCGTAGGGTCGATTCCTGGCCTGCCGCAGTTTGGAAATGATTTAAAATCACTTGTTTCGTGATTTCATTTACATATACACATGCTCGCACTTACATACGTAAACACATCGATATTTTCATATTTTGTTGCTTTATAATTTTATGACTGCAATACACTGTTCCTATAGCGTGCCAATGAAGTATAAGAGGCTGGAGTAATGCAGTACGGGAATACCATACTCTGCTTGCACAACGACAGAAAGGCGTCTTAGTTTGCTTGCAATTGTATAATGGCTATGTTATACACTTACAACCCATTTCTATAGTTAAAACAGTCATTGATAGCCTCATTCCTCTTGAGAATTGTTTTTATCATGAAAGGCGTGAAAATATATATTCGATATTGGTTTCTCATTTAATGTTGAAATGCCCTATGAGAATATTAGCATGTTCCTGCTTATTACTGGTTTAAGGTAAATGTCACCGAAGTTGTTTGTACACTTACAGTGGCGATTATACCAAAATTTATAAGCAGATTTTCATTACAGGATGTGTTGTGCCAATTGATAAACACACGGATCCTCTGACATAAATAGATTCCACTTTACATTGCAGGTTCTCACGCAATAAGACGAGTGTATCACCTGCCAAGTCGTAACCAGTAGATTAAAATGAATATATATATATATATTATATATATATATATATATATATATATATATATATATATATATATATATTATGCAATAAGATCACAGTGAACAGGTGATTTCAGAATATGCAAAACAACCACTCTGAAAGAATAGAGAAATTCCAAGCGCTTTCGTGACTACTCGCATTATCAAGGAACTATGATAATGTTCCTTGATAATGTGAGTAGTCACGAAAGCGCTTGGAATTTCTCTATTCTTTCAGAGTGGTTGTTTTGCATATATATATATATATATATATATATATATATATATATATATATATATATATATATATATATATATATATATAATATATATATATATTATTGTACCCACGAACGAGTGGTATTGATCAATAACAACACCATGAGGCAGGCCAAAGCAGCATGGGTTCGAGTCCTTGGCTAGTCGCAGTGTTGTTATTGATATATATATATATTTTATAATATATATATATATATATATATATATATATATAAAATATATGAGAATAAAAAGGCACTTTTATAATATTTATTATGAAGTTGTTCCTCCAAAAAGCCTCGTGTACGTGTCTTTTAACTAGTTTGCGATGCTATTCTGTAACTAGTGATGGGACGATACCAAAATTTTTGCCAATAACGATAGTCAATTTTAGGCCGGTACTGATACCGATGCCGTCAAAATTTTCAGATATATACGGATACTTTGGCGGTCCCCTAACTGCAATTCCTAACAAATCACCGGGAATATCCGTGTTAGTATCATAACAGCAGTCATTATCAAATTTACATTGTTTTACTTTACTAACATTCATGCGACCAAAAAATATCACATCTGCCAAATATAATATTCAATTATATTAATAGGGAGGCGCTCAACCAGTAAGGGTCATGCAGTACCGAGGGAATAGAAGTTAATCAAGTTTGTTGAAGTTAGTTTTTGAAAAAACGAATCAATGATTGCTCTATTTGTGCACTCCTTCCTATTGATTTCTACTTATCACAGAACTCCATCATCACTTTGGCATCACAACTTTTGCAGACTGGCTACAGCGTTTCCTGATAATATCGTCACTATTAGTCCTCGCTGCGAAGCCTCGTGTTACACAAATAACCCGCACATAAAAGAGAGAAGCTTACGACGACGTTTCGGTCCGACTTGGACCATTGACAAAGTCAATGTTATGTGCGGGTTATTTGTGTATCGTTCCAGTCACGGTATTGTGCCTTTTTGTTATTTAAGCCTCGTGTTCTTTTCGTTATACTCGTGTGCTGAGGGAGAAGAGGCCCTAAAGTTTTATGAACAGCCAACCCCTCCCTACACTAAATACTGCCGCAGTAACATTGAGATGGTGGGAAGAAAATGAGATATTTGCCTGTCAAACTCAGTATCACGGGATTGCTTGCATACCTGAGTAATGAGAATTGTCAGCATTTGACTGCTTTCCTTAGGCTTCAAGAGTTTCGTTTAAGCAGTGCTCGTGTTGATTATAGGGGAGGAAGCCTTTATTAGACACCGTTTCGCTCAGTGACGAACCTTTTTTCTAGTCATGTAACTTTAATAAAGTCTTGCTCTGCTATAACTTTATTACTCGACTTGTCAGCGCATTGCCTTCCATCTTTATTAATGCTACTTTCTCTTCGTCATCACTCAGGACAACCTTCCACTTTTAATGGTGGATACAGACACTGATGCAGTATAATGAGTGGGAGGGGCTGGGTTTGATTTGTGTCATTGGGTACGGGAGTTATTTCTTGGGAAGCTTTAGGTAGTAGTCGTTTTGATAAGGACCTGCCTCGCATGGGCCAGTAGGCCTTCTACAGTGTTCCTCCATTCTTATGTTCTTATGTTCTTATGTTTATTGACAACGTTTCAAAACGTGGGCAAAACGATGTCAGTAAAGGATCAAATTATCCTTACGTCTGTTTCCATCATGTCAGCACTTTATACAATTTCTCTAATATTTACGAGTAGTAGAGTCACTCTTAATCATCTCTGACGACAGCCTATCATATACAAGGGTAGTAAAATTGATTCGGTTATAAAAATAATTATAATTGAATATACATATTCATTACCGTTTAGAGTATTATGTTTACACAGAGAGAAGCGTGTGAACATTAAGGTCAGGGGGATTCGGCAGTATTTATGTACATGAACATATTTTAAAACGTATAGCATACATTTAACATAAAATATATATGCCGCGGAGAATCGGGGTGTCCTGATGATCTGGGTAAGTTAGTAAGGGTAAATATGGAATGGCCCCGAGTAGCCATTGGGGGGGGGGGGGAGCTGTGACCCCTGGTGACCAATTACAGCCATACGTGCCTGGCTGGTGGTTGTACCTGCCTGGATGATGGTTATACATGACTGGCCAATGGTACACATGCCAGGCTGATGGTTATACATGACTGGTGATGGTTATGCACGGTTGGCTGATGGTTACACAGATCAATACACGATGAGGCTAAAACTACATTATGGGACGCTGCATAAGCCCTTAGTCAATACTTTTTCTCCTCCCTCACTACACCAACCTCTCCCTCACTACACCAAC